CCCCAAAACCCCAAAACCCCAAAACCCCAAAACCCCAAAACCCCACTTGGTAGAATTCGTATTGAAGCCTTTATAAACCCTATATTTTATCAAAAATTCAACATTTATGGGACATTAGCTAATTCCTATATTGTACGTGACCCAACTACCAAAGCATGTGTGTACATAGCATTTCTAGAGAAGTGTGGAGGCTCAAACTCCTAAAAAAGAAGTAAAGAATGAATTTCACCTTCACACTACTAATAAGGACATCTTATGAGCTTCTGCATGCCCTGCTCTGGCTTTGAGGTTTCTGGAATATTTTATGTATGAAATAATTTATGGTGACCAGCCGTAAACCTCTTTTTGAACTGCTTAGGGCGGCTTCTGAATGGGTCAATTTTTGTTTGTAGAATATTCGTAACTGGGTTTTAGCGGTTTTTGAGGGTTTTGAGGCCCTTTGGGTCAGGTTTAATATGGGAAAGGAGATTGAGGTGGTAGAGAGGGAGATAGGAGGTAATACAATGCTCAGGGTAAGAAATCAAATAAATTGTGAATTTCTTTACTCAGTTGTAAAAGAGTAGATATCATACTTATGAAAATACAGAGAAATTTTATTTTCACAAAAAGAGTTGGCTTAAACCTCGGAGAAAGGATCTTAGAGGAATAAAGCATCAGGAGATGCTTGTAGAGGAAGATTTAGCAGATAATCCAATAAAATTATGAAAGGCTTTAATTCCTAAGGAGAAGAGATATTTTTAATAGTATTCATTAAGCCCTAATAATCCCATTTGAAGTCTGAAAATTTACTCCTGATGAATAGATGCTAATGATCAGACTTTTATTGAAGATGCATTGGGGCAGGGTCTGAAAACATGAGGAATATAGGTCATAGCTCGCATCTATAGACTCTCTCTTCAGCTTAGTTCTTGAAATCATTTCCTTAATTTGATTTGTGCAAGATTATATAATTGGCTTTTCGGTGACTTGAGTCTTTGACCCATGAATTTTACATAATTTTCAAATAAATTGGGATGCAAAGGTGGTAGACTAAGCTGTAAATATTATATATTAGTTCATGCTAAACTTTTGAATTTTATGTTATTTAAAGTGACGATCGTTCATAAACTTATTTTTTATAAAGTTAAATTATAAAATTTATAATACTGAAGGAAATTGGAAGGTTGAATTTGAATAGTTTGATAAGACAAAGAGTTGAAATTTTTATCCTCAATTGTTAATACTATCACCTGGACAATCGGCCTCAGTCTTGCTCTCAAACTTATTGATTAATAGAGTTATTATTATTAAAACATTGATCAATAACTTAAAAGTCTAACATTATCATTTAGTATACAAAATGCAAGTTTGTACTCCTTAACTAACGATTTCTGATACCCTTCCTTCTCACCTCTCAGAGCTTTGAATCAGAATTTTGGATAATAGATAGCCTTTTCAACATTGTACCTCTCTTATGCTGTTATAATACCAAAAGAATAAATTCTTTTCAAGTAAAAAGTTAAATGAATAATATTTGCCTAAAAATATCGGTTTATCCAACACCTTTTCACCACTTGTTCCTCTCCACCTCCCCTTAAACCTCCACTCCTAAAAAATTCCCAAATTCCTAATTTTCTTCCACCCCTCCTTTAGTCTCCGACCTGACCCAATTTGTCTCGTAGCTTATCCTTACTAGTCTTCATTGCAATTACTAAATTCTAATATAAAAAAGAGTCTCTTTCAGCTACCCCAAGCAAGTCACTCAGGTCAAACCTCTAGCATATTCTCAAACATGCTGGCCAGCAAGGATATCAGTCAGAGAAAGCTTCATAAGAGCTACAGGAGAAGAGATAAAGAAAATTAATAATTTCTAATGGGATTTTACTGATTTTAGAAAACTTATTTTTCGCTTCGTCTCACATAAATCAATCATCAAACTTTAATCCAACAACTTTAAAGTCTAAGGACCAAGACACTGGGTATAAGAAGAAGCTTGCTTGTGGATATATTAAAGATGGTTCATCATAAGAATTTTATGAAGGATTTTATATGTCTTGTCCTTAAGATAAAAACTTTCTACTCCCCTCTCTAAAAGATTCTATAATGTCAAATGATCTCAAATGTAATTATTATACACCCAGAGTTAAGCAGCTCTTAAAGGAAATTACATGATAGAGCCTTATTTACTTGTTGAGAAAAGACTATGATCTACACTTGTTGGATATTCATTAAGATTTTAAAGTTTAGAAAATAGCATCCACTCAGAAATTAGGAAATGTAAGTCCCTATAAAAATTACTCGTTGTGGCCAAGTTTTAAAGAATTTATTGGGACTGGAACTTTTCTCAAAACCTGGAGACATCTGAAAGTCTATTTTGATATAAAAATAATTATAAGTCTTCACTTCGAAAGAGGCCTGTGGGGTTTTGGGGTTTTGGGGTTTTGGGGTTTTGGGG